TAAGGCAATCAAAACCTCACCCATCACAGGCTATCAACGAAAAGGATTCAATTTGAGTGAGAGTATTTCGCTAGCCACTGCAAAGGTATTAGAACCTCACAAAAGCATAAGTACTTTACTCTCTCTTAGAGGCACAAAACTAGGGTATAAAGCTAATGTTATGCATATGCATAGTTTGTAACATAAATAAATAAATGAATGGAAAAGAAAGAAAAAAAATCCTTACAAAGAATTCAATTTTATTAGGCCTTTTAGATAGCACGAATTTATTTATGGCCTGACTCTCGACTATTCCCAATGGAGTCACCAAACTATCATAACATTTAGATCCGGAGATCTATCGCTAGACATTGACTTGAGGAGTCGCCACCAATCTTTTTTGTTTTGGTGCAATTGGTCACCTAAGGAATCTATCCTTTCAAGAAACACCTAAGCTTGACTAAAGGTCCCTAAACGAATAGGTTCGGGTCTATTAATCAGAACAGGGTTCGAGAGTTCGGTTACGAGTGAAGAAGGTTATAGCACCCTCACAACGCCCATCGAAAGATGGTACCAGTTCAATTTCATGTTATCCAATAAGCCTTAAAAATTTTATCAAGTAATTAATTATTGAAAATTATTTTTAATTAACTCTAATACTTTTAGTAAAAAATTAAGAAAAATTCTCTCACTTCAAGAGTATGCAAGAAAATTATTGTTTCTCTTGCATATGCTCCATCGTCGAATTATTTAACATAAAAAAAATTTCAAGAAAAGAAAAAAAGCAAAATGAGAAAGGAATGATGTTGACTTTCAATATAGATCTTTTTTTTTTTTTGCTTTATAAAAAAACTTATGCTTTATACAAGGAAAATTGATACTTTTAATTTCTTTTCAAGAATATTTTTTGAAAATTTTATTTTCAAGGAAAATTGATACTTTCAACTTTTCCCCAAAAATATTTTTAGAAATTTTTATTTTCAAGGAAAATTGATACTTTTAACTTTTTCTCAAAAAATATTTTTATAAATTTTTATTTTCAATTAAAATTGATACTTTCAACTTTTTCTCAAAAATACTTTTAGAAATTTTTATTTTAAAGAATCATTAAAAATTAAAGAATATTTAATTAAATGAATAAGTGATAATAATAATAATCATCATCATATTAATAGCAAAAAAAAAAAAAAAACCTTGGAACAACTCAGCTCGGAGTGATGGAAGCGCGGCTCAAGAGATAAAAGCGGCTGGACGGTTTAATATGCGGCTCGGCTCGGCTAAACCAAAGGTAAGGGCACGGATCAGTGAACTCGAGTTGGCGCTCAGGTAGGGTCACCTGCTGACAAAACTTACGGATTCTACGTTTATTAATGCCTAAAACATCATTTTGTGGTACTATAAAAGGCTAATTTTAGCCTTTTTCAGCAAAGTTCTCTTTCTCCCTCTCTCTCTACTCCCCTTTTCTCTCCCTCTCTCTCTAAGTTTCCCAAAACACTAGTTAAAGCTTATCGAATTATGAAAAATATGATCGAAATTTAGGTTTTTCATCGAAAAAAGTCACCGAAAAACTTGAATTTAGCCTGAAAGTTTCATCGAATTCTGAAAAATTTCCAAAAATTTTTTAGAAAAAGAACTGCCAAAAATTCTAAAAATTTTTCTAAAAAATGTTAGGATCCCTGTAGCCCTTCTAAACAATTTCTTCACTCCTACTTTCTGTTCTCTCTCTTTCGTTCTCTATTTTTTAAGTCCCCTTATGCTTGCCCAGGATTTATATTTATAAGACTTTTGGGGCCACAGAACCCAAATCTAAATAAAAGTCCTAATTTGCTTTGGTTTTTAACTTTGTTCCACCCTTTCCAATCCGTTTTAAAATCTTCAACCTAGTTTCATGCAAACTCAAATACTTTTTTTCGTTTTCTTTCATTTTTATTATTTTTTAATTGTCAGAATTAATTTTGTAAACCCCCAGATAGATTAGGGTGTGTACAACAGTGTCAATAAATCATTCTTTAGTTGTATACTATAATATTTTGTTAAAACATGATCAACCTTAGTACTGGCAATATGAAGACAAATTTAATAAAGAGCTTTTTTAGCATGTTAAGTTATTCTTTTTAGCTACAAACTAAAGATAACTTTATACGATTAAGCACTAAATCACAATCTTAAAGCACAAAGATTAATTACATCCTCAATTGTATAATTACATAAATATATATAAGTGTGTTGACTAAAATAATTGTTAAAATTCATAAAAAAGAAATCATCGTTAAAGAAATATCATGAAATGATATAAAAAGTTAAAAAAAATAAACAATAAATTTTGAAATAAGTAAATTTGCAATGGTATAAGCCGTATAAAGCATCACATGTTCACTTTTTTTAGCAATGCGAATACAATCGTTACAAAATTAAAAAAAAAAAAAAAAGAAAAGCATAAATTCAAACAAAAAAATAAAAAAAATAAAACCATATGTAAAATGTTAGAGAACCTGCAAACTATATTGGAAGCCATCTATTTATAATAGTGAAATGAGAGACGTAATGTTTAAGATTTTAAATATAGATATTTAATGCATTTTATAAAAAAAAAATAAGAAATATATATTTATAGTAGGACTTTGCAATAATTTTTGGAGGATAATTAATTCAAATTTGTATGCCTATAATTATTGGAATTATTATGGTTCTTCTTTCTTATTTGAATCGGATTCATTTTTCATATTCTAATTTTAAATGGATACAAAATAATATTATTATCTATAGTAATCACATCTAAATATAAAAGATAAGATAATTAAAAATATAAAAAGACATAAATAAGTATATCTTATTATATGAAATAAAATATTTTAAGATTTAAATAAATCAAATCAAAATAATTAAATGGTTGACACATGTTAAAATTATACACGTCACAAGAATAAATCATTTACATTAATTTTTTTTGACATAAACTTTAACTTTTATATATTTATATAAAATTTTTCAAAAATTATACTTCGAATTCTTGAAAATTAAAAATTTTTATTTAACTCCAATTTTTTCTTGTCATATTTTCAAGACAAGAAATTTATGTGTACATCCCTCGAATTGTTGCATTTTGAAGAAGAAAGGAGATGCGACCCGCAACCCGTAAAAACTAGATCCGCTTCAACAAACAAACATAACATGATCTACATCCGATCCAAGATATGTTGCACCTGATCCACATCCCGACCCATTCTAGAATTAGATTAGGCCTTCAGATACTTTCTTTGGGAGCTTTTATTTATGTTTAGCCCAATCTTTTGGTATAATATTTATTTATTTATTTATTTATTTATTTATATGTTTCTTTTATTTATTAGTTGCATACATGTTTATATTTCAATATTTGGATACTTATATATTTTTAATTATTCCTAGTTGTTAATGTTGAAAATTAAAAATATACATGATTTAACAAAATTAAATAATCTAAAATTTTAAATTTAATTGTTTATTGTATACATTCTTGCCTACATCATGTGCGTTTAATAAAATTTGGGAGAAGAAGTGGAGATTTACCTTATTATGGAATTGTAAGAAGAATACGAATATGCAATTTCTCGAAAAATTTAGGTGAATTTTTTTTTTTAATTTCAGAATATTTGAGAATTTTATAAAATTCAGTATCAAAGATTTACATTTATTGTTAAATAAAAGAATATGTAAAAGATTATAAAAATTAAATGGATAAGAAAATAAATTAAAAATTGGAAATTAGATAAAAATACTTAAATTTAAATTCTCTTCGTAAAATATCTAATAAATCAGAAAATCAAAGGAAACAAATTTGTTTTTTTGAATAATTTTAAGGTGAAAATTTTTAATTTAAAAATCATATCAAAATGTTAAAAAAATCGAAGAAAAATTTTAATATTTAAATAATCAAAATTAAAAAGATCATTTCTAATTAAAATCATTTTAAAATAATATAAAATTATTTGATATTGTATTTTGATTGAATATTATGGTGTGCTAATATCTTCACGCTATAATTGAATTTTAAAATCTAATTCTATAACATGAATCAAAATTTTATTTTTTAAGGAGTTTTAACTAAGCTTATGACTTCTTTAGGGAGACGAATTCAAATGGACAATCAATCATAGTTAATAAAAAATTGATAATTACATTTTTTTTTTTTTACGTCTAAGGATTAGATTTTCAAAATGCATATTATTATAATTACTTTCGTACTAATATTAAATTATGAGCTAAATTTCAAGTCACCCATGAGTTTAGCATGAGAAATACTCTTAATTTATTGTTAAGGACAAATTCACGGTTAGTCCGTCATGTCTTCCTCAAGTCAAGATTTGCTTCCTCTGATATGCTGTCATCCATCAATTCATAATTAAAAAAAAAATCAACGTTGGCTGTCCCTTTTAACAGTACACGTTAAGAGAGAATTTAGACCAAGTTTTTCGGATTTTTTTAAATATAATTAAATAAAAAGTAAAATTAATAATCTAGAAGAGATTAACAAAATGATTAATAATAATATGTAAAAACTAATTGGAAATATTATTTAATACAAAAGTTCGATAATAAAATTTTCATAATTTTTAAATAAAAATATTAATTTAATTATATTTATTTGTTTTAATTTTTTATACTTAATTTATGTAAAAAAATTTTGAAAATATTTACTTCAAATTTTAATTCGTTTTCTTGTCCATTGTTTTTTTATTCTTGCCATATTTTAATTTTAATTCTTTTTTTTCTTTTTTTTTTCTACTCTGTACCTTCCCAACAATTTTATCAGCAGGCGTTTTATCACATGCCGAAACGCTCCGTATTCCTCATAACCCTCACCGCTTTACGTGCACGTTTAACTAAATGCCCGTCTCTTGGTTCAACGAATTCCAGCTTTTCCCAAACTACCCGAAAATATACGCACGTGGCATCAACATAAAGCGTGTAGATTCGATTTTCACCTGCGCGAGTGGAAACACTTAAACCTCTCGGCCATTTTGGCTGGCACAATCATCTCTATAAAAGTAGCCAACCCATTAACCAGTATTCAACAAAAAAACAAAAAAATCCCAAACACCCAAAAAAGCCCTCTCCCTCTCTAGAATTTTCCCAATCTCCCTGTCTCTGTCTTTTCTGAAATAAAAAAAATCCCCAGATTGTCTTCCGATTTCCAATTATACCCCTTAAAATCTTGAAACTCCGGCGATAAATCCTTGTTCCGATCTCGATCCCGATCTTATTGCTTCCTGCTTCTGGGCAAACGGGGATTAAAAAGAAAAAGAAAAACAGAAGAGGGATCGGAAAAAGAAAGGAATTCGCATGAGCTGGTTGGTACATCTGGGTTTTTCTTCTTTGTATTCACTGAATTCTTCCAATCATTTCACGACGTGTCTTTTAATTTTTGTTCTTCATTGCTCCCCTCAGTTACCTCCATCGTTATTCAAACTTGAGAAAAAACCCACTGAACCTTTATTATTATTTATTAGTAATTCTAATCATAATCCTCTCTTAAATCTCAATCCTTATCCTAATCGTAATTCCGACAAGTCGTTAATCCATGGAGTCTGCAAACAAGAATAATCGTCAATTGAGCAGGGGTTCGTTGTTTCTTTCTCTTTTTTTATTTTTTTCATTCTCATTTTTACGTCGGTGTTTTTTTTTTTTTTAATTTTTTGTTTAACTTAACTGAGGTGCAGCTTGTTTGACACCTTGACTCATATCACAACATGTGATTATATTAATAAATAATAAAGTGACTGATTTTTAAATTCATATAAAATTATTTAATTTAATTGTTACCTTTTTCTTAAAAAAAAATAAAAGGTATTATTTTAAGTAATTCTTAGAATTTTTTTTTTTATTTTGATGTTTGACCAGTGATTATCTGGTATGAACTGTTGTAAAGGGAAAATATATTAATAATATGAGTTAGGAGAATTAAAAGGTGGCGTTAGTGAGCCACCTAAGCAAAGCATTGAACGGAAAAGAACAAAAAGATGATGCTTTAAGGTCATGCTGATGAAATAAGGATCTCATTATTTATAGTATATTTTCTGCTAATTTTCATGATATTGGCAGTTACATTTGAGTTAGTACAAGTTGAAAAGTTTGCAGTTTGATAATATTTTAGTAAAAGAAATTGGTGGTTACTGTTTGTGAAGGTCTTTGCTATTCGAATGGGGCGAGGAGGCAAGCGCGGTCACCATCTGTGATCGTGATTGGTGCTGGAATGGCCGGAATTGCAGCTGCACATGCTCTCCATGAAGCCTCATTTCAGGTAACAAAACCCTCTAAACTTGGGTTTTCTCTAAATCTCATGAAGCTTTATTATTATATAAACATGTTGGTCCCCTCTTCTAGATTCGAACTGATGCTTGTCACTTGACAGAATCAAATTCTAAGCATTTGGTGTCCCTTTGGAGATGGAAGCTTTTATCTTTGAACTTTCTTTTATTAATGTTTCTTAAAATTTGACAGAGTTTGTCTGCATGTGTATTTAGGTTGTGGTGTTAGAATCCAGGGATAGAATTGGTGGTCGAGTTCATACCAATTACTCATTTGGTTTTCCTGTTGACCTTGGTGCTTCATGGTACATTTTCTGCTTTTTCATTGTTTTGTGTGTGCATGCAAATCCTGTTCAGTTGCTTGAATAAATTTGATCTAACTAACGCTTTCTCCAAATATATATATATATATATGTATGTATGTATGTATGTATATGCTTCAGGTTGCATGGAGTTTCCAAAGAAAATCCCTTGGCACCACTGATCAGTAGACTTGGACTCCCGCTTTACCGGACTAGCGGTGATAACTCTGTGCTGTATGACCATGACCTGGAGAGGTGAGCAGCAGTTATTCAAATGCCTAGACTTTTATTCTATATATTGGTCAGAGCATGTTTAATGCTACTTTTTCCTTACTTTATTCTATATGTTGGGACTTTTTATCTGTAATATAAGAAAAAAGTGGTTTTGTTTTATCTTCTGAAAAAGATTTTGACTCCTAAGGAATGTTCTTGTTTCCATGATGACATGAGACATTTCCTCACGCTGATAATTGTTGGTTTTGCTGATAATGTTTCTTTTTTAAACTTTGCAGCTATGCACTCTTTGATATGGATGGACACCAAGTTCCACAGGAGTTGGTCACCAAGGTTGGAGAAGCATTTGAGTGCATTTTGAAAGAGGCAAGTGCTGTTTATTTTATTGGTTTATGTCTCTCTAGTGGCCAACATTGTTTACAAACCAGAACTTACAATACTTTTTTTTTTTTTTCGAGAACTGTGATGATGATGTTCTGTCCCAATCTGATTTGCTGTGTTTCTTTTTGTTAATGATTGCAGACAGATAAAGTGAGAAAAGAGCACAGTGAAGATATGTCTATAAGTCGTGCTTTCTCAATTGTTTTTGAAAGAAGACCAGAATTAAGGTCTAATGGAACATGACTCTGTTATTCCATATCTTTTTCTATTTGTCTCCTATTTTACAATTTTGAAAAAAGTGAATTTTCTAAACTACTTTGTTAATCTACAGGTTGGAAGGGCTTGCACATAAGGTACTCCAGTGGTACTTATGCCGAATGGAAGGTTGGTTTGCTTCAGATGCTGATACTATCTCACTTAAAAGCTGGGACCAGGCAGGTTTTCATACATAGAAATTTGAGGCTTTGCTTGAATTGTTTTGAGTTTTTTTTTTTTTTTTGTGGTTCATTAATTTAGCGCACTTTAACAAATTTATTCATTGAGGCACCAAAAATTAAATATATTGAAGGTGTGTCTTCTTAGACAGACAGTAGGAACTAAAACGCACAATGGAGGTCTAGAAGGGTATGGAACTGTTGAACATATTGAGGGTTTTAAGCCTTTGTACTCAGTGAATGAAAATCTGTCTATCAAAATTAGGAATAGGTCCTAGTTTGACTCACTTACCCTCCGGACCCTTATTTCTTGTCCTTTGGCAAATTCATACTTGTTCTATATCATGTTTACTGGCAGCATTGAAATAGTTTAATCTTGCACTCCAAGCAATAGTAGACCCATACATGCGGTAAGGGTGCCAAATACTGGTCTTCTATGATTTAGGTACTATTAGCATACAAAGAAATTTAGTAAAAATTAAGTTGAGAATTGCTACTTGAGACATTAAACTTATAATTTCATTTTGTGAAATTATATCATGTTCTAACCTTTGCTTAGAAACTCCTTTTAAGTTGTTTATTGTGATGCTTCTCAGCTACATTGACTTCTTTCCTTTTATTTGCTTAACTTATTAACTTGCACTTTCTTCTTCTTACAACTTTCTGTTTCTATTTCTTCTACCTGCAGGAAGAGCTGTTACCTGGTGGTCATGGACTCATGGTCAGGGGCTATCTTCCTGTGATAAACACTCTCGCCAAAGGTCTTGACATCCGCTTGAGCCACAGGTAATTTAACTTGAATAATTAGTTCAGTTTGTATGTTTTGTAGCATGGCTGTGTTTATCAGCTAATGTTTATCATTGTAATGTATTTTGTCCTAGGGTTACAAAAATAATGAGGCGCTACAATGGAGTGAAGGTTACTGTGGAAGATGGAACTACATTTGTGGCAGATGCTGTTATCATTGCTGTTCCTCTAGGTGTACTAAAAGCCAAGAGCATCATGTTCGAACCAAGGCTTCCAGAGTGGAAGGAAGCAGCCATTGATGACCTTGGAGTGGGGATTGAGAATAAAATAGTGTTGCACTTTGACAAGGTGTTTTGGCCTAATGTGGAGTTTTTGGGAGTTGTTGCTGAGACAACTTATGATTGCAGCTACTTTCTAAACCTTCACAAGGCCACGGGTCATTCTGTCCTTGTGTATATGCCTGCTGGGCAGCTGGCCAGAGACATTGAGAAAATGTCTGATGAAGCTGCTGCAGATTTTGCTTTTATGCAACTGAGGAAGATCCTTCCAGAGGCATCTGCCCCGGTGAGTCAATTTTTCAAAGATATATTTTGTTCTAATGTTTGTAGGACGCTCCTGCCTAAGAACTTAAAATGTGGGATTCTTGACGATCCATAAACTCTTCATATGTGTCAATTTGTTGCACCAACAATTATAAAATGATTTGTTAAGACTCAAATTTTGTTATAAAATTCACAAATAGTCTGTTGCTGTGTTCCTTTAAGCATATATTCACATGGAGCTATAATTGAATGTGTAAATTACTTCACAAATAGTCCGTTGCTTTGTTCCTTTAAGAATATATTCACATGGAGCTATAATTGAATGTGTAAATTCAATTATGATTTTGTCAAATTACAATTGTGTGTGTAATACTCATGTCTGTATCCATAGTTGTACTGATCTTTTTGTTGATTCTGTACTTTACTGTAGGCTGCCAATAGTACCAACTAAATTTTAATTTTTCTTGAACCCGCAGATTCAGTATCTTGTTTCTCGATGGGGCACAGACATCAATACACTTGGCTCCTATAGCTTTGATGCAGTAGGCAAGCCCCATGATCTGTATGAGAGGCTAAGGATTCCAGTGGATAACCTATTCTTTGCAGGGGAGGCAACCAGTATGAGCTACCCAGGGTCCATTCATGGTGCATTTTCAACCGGACAGATGGCTGCTGAGGACTGTAGGATGCGTGTACTGGAGCGATACGGAGAGTTGGACTTGTTCCAGCCAGTCATGGGCGAGGAAGCATCATTGTCTGTCCCGCTTTTAATCTCCCGCTTGTAATAACCTGTCTCCCTGCGCATTGGTTCAAAAGTATGCATTTGTGGATACGTTGGTGTAGGATCTGATTAACACATTAATTCCAACTCCATTGACGTTTCCAGAGAAGTTGTGGAAAACCCACTTTTCTCTGGTGAATATCAAGAGCATTGGTATGATGTGTTAAGTATTCATATATCCGGACAAGCATAACTAGTATGGTAATCTTAATCTATTCGAGTCTAGTAGTATTTAATTAAGCAGTTGAGCAGGCGCAGGGGCATGCCTTTGTCAAACTATGTTTTAAATATGAATGTTGCGAGTTTAGGTGCATCCACTACGTGAGTGGGAAGGACACTGAACAAAACGGTGATATAATTTTAGTTAATAAAGAAAGAATTGCTTTCTGATTATTCTTTCTTTCAATTTTTTTTTTTTTTTTGGTGTGTCTCTATGATCTTGTCTTAGGTTAGGTAATTAGGACTGGAGAGGGTGAGAAATCTTAAATGAATCTTTCATAATTCTCTTTTACCACTTTTAGAAATAGTTTAACATAAACAACAGATAGGATAAGATTAGATTCGATGATATTCAATTATTCACCCAGTCTATTACAATTCTTTTTAGAACAACATTCTTTTTATCTATTTGAAGCAAATCAAGATGAAGTGCTATAGTTATGATAGAAGATACTGTCCATAGACAATCATCACGGAATTTTGGTATGCTTTAAGCATAAAAGATATTCAATTCCCTTTCTTTTTTTATGATTGAAATTTTATAATTGTGTTTAAATATTATTAAAACTAGCTGGCTGGCTCGTATTATGCTGCAGGTTTGTTTTAACTATGAAAATACAACTTGCAACTGACTTAGAGTAGGGAAAAAATTGGCCAGCAGAGTGAAACCATTGTTCTCAAAGATCATTTCTCTACAAATTCTTTAAAATATAACATCTTCTGATATAAGAGACAAAAACAAATGCAAGATAACAATTGCTAGGACTCACTTCATCCCTACAATTCATATATTCCCCTTACACAGTAAGCAAGTCATTTCTCTAGAGTTTTTGAAGCACACAAATTAGAGATTAATAAAAGAATTTAGTTTAAATATGCATCAAAAGCACTTATAAGGAACGAAACCAACTATAATTAACTTAATACCTTAACTACTACATACAATAGGGAATTCTCAAGCTATCGCTTAGTAATTTTAACTCGATCGATCATAATGCAGGTTTGTAACAGTTATGCCTAACCTTTTAACTTGAAGTATCAATAAGAAAACCTTGAAGATATGAAACTTGGAATAAATCTCAACAAGTGGGAATACTCCAGTACTAAATTGGCCTTATGTTAAGGTATGGTAAAAAAAGAAAAAGATTCCAAGCCTAGTTCTCATTATCCAACTTTTTAGAAACTAATAAAATGATGAAAAATAAAATATTGTTTCTTGCAAAGAAGCTAAGAAAGCATTTTTATTAAATCCCAGCTTGAAGAAAAAAAAAAACACCTTTCAATTTTCTTTTTTCCCTATCGAATGCGTAGCTTTGATATGATTGGTTTGGTGTCACAAAAAGAATAAAATGGCCCCACAGCCATGAGGTTGGATGATCAAAATTAATACTACCAAGGAAAAATCAAAGAACAAAATAAGACCAAGATGACTTTGAATTGACATAGGGATTTGATTCATAAAATTTACTTTTTCTCTATCATCCATATCGGAGTAGTTCATCTACCGTAACAAATTAGCTCACTATTAACATCATCATCGTCTTATGCAAATTATATAATTAAACCCATTCATTTTAAAAATTTATCACTCTTTACGATTCACTCATCAGTATACAAAATTTTTTTTCAACCAACAATCAAAGCTTGAAAACTATAATCGCTACAAAACTCATCCTACAACATACCAAAGAGAAGTTAATTCCTTTGTCAGATTTCTATCTTAAAAGGAAAGAAAAAAAGCCACTGAATCTTGAAGGAAATTTGCAAATTCTTAGAAGAAACACAGAAAACAAATAGTTATCAAACTTTCCATTGAAACAAAGAAAATCATGTAGAATTTTCATTAAAAAGAAACATTGAAGAATAAATGGAAATTACTATTAAGAAAAAACCTAGCACAGAAAAAAGATGACTAATTAATTGAAAAATTGCGCAAATTTATTTGGATTCAATATGGGCTCAAAAAGTTTTATCTTGGTTGCTTTGATACTATATGCATAGAAACACAAGAAGTAGGAAAATATTTTTAACAATATAAATATGATAGTGACCTATACTAATAGCATCAACTACAACAGTAATATTGTAACTAACTTGCTAACCAATAATTATTCTATTAATAGTGCTCACATTGTCCCCTTGTCTTATAAGTATTTCTCCTAACTGTCCAACAGTAAACCACTTCAATGGGAAGAATAAAGATATTTTGAACCAAAAAAAAAAAAACATAAGGATCAAATTATGGCATTTATACCTGAATAAAAAATAATAACAAAATAAGTAAATGAACATTAAAATGCTTTTGTGCTATAAAATATTAATTTTTTGAAGCAAAAGCAAAAAGTTTTTATTTTGAAAAACATAAGTAGCAATATGTTGTTGAAATCAACATTCTACACACCCTTTTTGTATCACTAGCTTTGCTAGAAAAAATGTTCCAAGGACTCTAAATTTTGATCAGTAGACAACAAAGAAACAAGAATTAAAAGTTAAGGCAAGTTCTTCAAAATTATTCTTTGAAATGTTGTCAACTTTATAACACTCAAGTTTGAGTTAAACTGTTCCCTAACACTACCTTTTAACAAACTATCATCCTTCAAATTATTGACAATATTCATTAAATTCATAGTTGTGCTATGTTTTGTAGATTTTTTAAAAGAAAGATTGTCAATTTTTTTTCTTCCTCTACACTTTCAACCACATTAGTAGAGTTAAACCAATGAGTATTAACATACATTTTAAGTACTGCCAAAATTCTTAAGAAGTGAAATGTGAGCATGATCTTAGGAGACTTAAAAAAACCTTTAGCATTGAAATTAAACCTAAACTTGTACAATCTAATAGGCTTGTTTAATATTTTTTTCTTAAACTTGAGGACTTGGATGTATATTGACATATTGTTCAATTTATATATGCAAATCCAAATATAAAGCTAAAACTTAAATATACCTATCATTGCAACACAGAGAAATACGTTCCCGCAACAACATACCAAGACAAAAAAAATGTAATTATTTCAACAAAGGAACAAAAATATATAGCAAATCCAAGAAGAACATACCAATGAATTCTAGGAAGCATACTTGTTAGTGGATTTAGAGAATTGTAGGATACATGAGAACCTTTAAAAAGGAAATGTACAAAGCTATCCACATAGTTCTCAATGCATAGCCCAAAATTGACAATTTGGATTTTGAGCACATTAAATTAAAACAAATAATGGGGATGTAAAAAAAAATTGACAATTTGAAGCGAATAAAGAAATGTAAAAGAAAAATCAATAAAACCTAAAAAGGAAAGTAGTACATCAAACTTGAATTGCATGTTAGAAGCAAATCAATTCAAAACCCACAAACCAACATGCATAAAAACACAGCTTAATAAAAACTCACCAATTCAAATTCCATTCCAACTCTTTCTTTCCAACTTAGCTCCATTCAACTCACCGATTCAACTTACTCTCTCAACTAATTATTATTCTTCACCATTTTCAAATGAGTTTTTTTTCTTGTATTTTAACCAATTGATACTTTCAAAATTTTTAACCATTTGATGTAATTTTGAATCGTAAAAAAAAAAAGTAAAATCATAGATAAAAAAAAAAGGTTACCTTTTAATGAAGCCATCGATCAAGATTATTTTCACAGTAGATTCTTTTAATAACAGAAGCTTAAACATCTGAGGGATTAAGATAGAATGATAATAAGTTAATAACCAAAAAGCCCAAAAGAATTCTTCGATTAAATGCTTAGAAAAAGAAAAAAAAAAAACAAGTACTAATAATGAAAGTAACGTTGTAGAAAAAAAAGAAAAGAAATCAACAATGAGAAGCTGAAATAAGCTTCTAAAAAAGAAACTTTCCTAAATTACCCTTAAATTATTTTCTTTTTACATTGCTTGGCTATCTTTTCAACATATATTAGGGATAGCTTTTACTTTTCAATGAGGTCATCGATCAAGACCATTTTCATGATAGATTTTCTTAAGAACAAAAGCTTAAACACTTGAGAGATCAAGATGGAATGATAATAAGTTAATAACCAAAAAGCTTAAAAGAATTCTTCAATTAAATGCTTAGAAAAAGAAAAAAAATTACCAAAAGTGAAAGCGGTGTTGTAAAAAAGAATAGAAAAGAAATCAGCAATGAGAAGCTGGGATAAGCTTTTGAAAAAGAAACCTTCCCAAAATTATCCCTAAATAATTTTCTTTTACATTGCTTTGTTGTCCCCTTAATATATATTGAGAACAACTTTTAATATATGTAATAGATTTTGTGATAATTCGCACAAAATTAAGTTTGTTAGATTGAAACAGTTACCATTGTTTTTTTATTGTATTTTATAATGTAGTATTCTTATTTTATATGTACGTATAATTTTTTTTAAGTTATAATTATAATTAAGTATTACATTCATATAATCAATTAAGTAATAAATTATTACATCATAATCAAGTTATAATTATTGAATAATCAACTAAACAAATTATAACATTACTAAATAACTAAACTCATACATAGTAAAATTTGAACTTAGAACATCAAGGTTTTAAGACCTCCTTGCAACTAAACCAAGATTTCATTGTCATTAGCACCTATAATTTTTTAATTAGGATTTAGTCACTAAAAATAATTTGTTATTATTTTGAATTTAGAGGAATGATTTCTAAATTATAGTGAAACGTTTAATATAATATTTAACTTTAAAAGTTTTTAATGTGATATCTAAACTATAAATTTGTTCACTAATATAGTATCCAATTCTTATGTGGTTAGTTTTAAGTGATAACACATGATGAATAAAATATCACATTAATTAATAAATTCATAATTTAAATATTATGTTAAAAATTTTTAAAATTTAGATATCACATGTAATCTTTTACTATAATTTAGAAACTATTCTTAATGTTATTCCCTTTTGAAAGATAGTTATATTTTACATTTTACTCACAATAATTAGTTCAATTGGTAAGAAAATTATTTATTTTCTTTATTAATTTAAATTAATTTATAACATATATAAAAGTTGTCCCCAATTGATTTTGTAAGAGATAGCTTAGTAATGTATTAAACGGAGATTAAGTGGGTAGATCTAGTAAAAATACTCTACTCTTCATTTATATTGAAACTTTTAGAAGTTTTCAAAAGCTTCTTTAAGAAGCTTTCAAAAATGAAAAAAAAAATGCTGAAGCTTTTGAAGATAAAAGTTCATGGAGACTGATATGAGTGGAAAAAAAAAGAAGAGGAATAGAACAATAAACAAGAAATATGGAAGGAATCAAGGAAAGAGTTTGGGTTGAAACTCGCAATGCTGCATTAATGGAGCTTTTGAAGAAGTTTACAAGGAAATAATTAGAACAGAGAGATCATGGGAGAAAAAAGAAAAAAAGAGTTTCTTTTGTAGCTCTTTTCTTTTAGATTTTAATGCATACATCGATCGGTATGTTTTTTCATTTTTTTCATATGTTTTCTATTTTGAGATTTTTTATTTGTTGTTTACCTTTTGTTAAATGG